AAAGGAGGGGTTTGGAAAAAGGGTGCCAGGCCGAAAACGGGATGCAGCCGAAACAGCAAAAGATAGACCAGGGATCGAGCCCTGGCGAAGTCCGTAACACCTCTAGGCTGCTGGTCTTCTCTTTCTCGCTGCTGCTTTGGCTGCGTGCTCCAGCTCTTACCTGCTACCGTCTTCACTCGAATAGAACGCCCGGTCATTATAGCCGTATTTGGTGCAATTTTCAGTCTACATACAGCGATAATGACCGGGCATTCTATTCGGGTAAAGATGGTAGTGTCCTTCATCACTGTCAACCAGTGGCTCTTCCTCCTGCGCTGAAAGGTCATCACCCTTGTCAGACACTGAAAAATGCCAACTTCTTCCAGATTGCTGTGCAAAGCTTTCTTTTGTTGGTGCTTCCCCTTCATGTGCTGGAGTGACACTCGGCCTATTAGTTGCTGGCAAATTCGCCCTTAAAGATCTGAGTGCTGAGTCCAGTTTCAGCACTTCGTTCGCCGTGTTTTGGTTAGTCAGTATGCACTCCCACTGAAAACGCGTCTTTTTTTATTAATCAGGAACTCCTTCCACTGGAATCCACTGGAAACTCAGACGGCTCGCAGTACATTTGAGGCAGGCAGTGTGTAGGCTTGGCCTATCAGTTGGCTGCCTCACTTCTTATCCAGTCATGAGGTCCCCTTCCGATAGGAAACTGTACCCCCTGCTTCATAAGTCTGCAACCTAGCCTACTTCAAGCAAATATACCTACTATGTACTAGAAGTGGTGATTGGTGTGCTGGCTACCGTCTTCACCCGAATAGAACGCCCGGTCATTATAGCCGTATTTGGTGCACTTTTCAGTCCAGATATAGCTATAATAACCGGGCGTTCTATTCGGATGAAGACGGTAGCATCCGAGCTCTGTCCATGGATTCTTCGTTTGATGGGTTGCCTGTTCTGCCACCACATAGTTCTTGGGTCAAGGGTGTGGAGTTAAGGTCGTTAACGAGTGCAAATCACTGTCCACAAACAGGTGTAGAGTTCTTTAATGCTTTCTTAACAGCCACTTGTCCTTGCTGTCCTGTTTCTGACTCGTTCCTGATCACGTTTATGTGGCTCCTGTTTCAGGTCCTTGTAGCCTGCAGAGGGCGATAGGATCCACATAACTATAGTGAACTAAGATAAATGCCGAGAGCTAGTCCACTGCCCGTTGTCCAGCGAGTTCAGTCTATATATGATCGCCCCGTCTTAAGAACAGACCTGGTCCCTAACCCCTGGGCTGGAATGCCACACCCAGGTGAAAAGCGATCCTGTAGCAACTGTTCTTGTTTCGTATATTCTGAAAATTTGTGACCACTGAAACTCTCTCGCTACTCATGTGATGTGAATTGCAGGTGCAAACAACTGGAGCGCTTCATCACGCAGATATGATCACGTTGCGCTCCGCAGCGGCTATGTGGCATGACTATTTTGCTGGTTTGCCAAAGCCTCTGGTCTATGTGAGCATAGGAGGTCCATCAAGTAAGTGACGGAATTCCGAGCTGCCATTCCTCAGTGTGAATGATCAAATCTGCCAAATAAGACAGACTCAGTGAAATGGTCTATTGGGGATGACTAGCTTGTATTCGGACTTGTGATGCACCTCCGCAGTGCATTGTGTGCTGTGTGATACTGCCTTGTACTCACGATGTGCCGGTGACGGGTGGGAAGGGCTGCACACATAATAACTTTCTCCTGCGCTTGAATGTGTCGAGATGTTGTCCGTTGAGCTACAGTTGCTGGTTGTGTTTCTTGATTGCTTGTTGATGCCTGAGTGCAGGTTGATTGATGATTATAGCAAATGCACTCTATGTAGGCGGATGTGTAGCCACGGCGCTCTCAGCCACATAGACTTTCTGATGGACCTTGCACTCATTATTAGCAAGCTATTCTTTGATAATATTTGGTGTTTGTTTTACAGGCTCATTTTAGCAGGTATTCATGTGCATTCTCTCCTCAGCTTGGTTCTATAAAAGGCGTGGGTATAACTCCCACGTCCTGCTATTTCGAAGCACATGGGATAGGGGGCCAAGGTGCTTTAAGCACTGGAGCTCTTGATGTTCTGGCAGGCGTTCATTACAACAATGAACGCCTGCCAGCACTGTTGGATTACAGGGTGTTTGTGGGCGGCTTAGAAAGCTTGTGCTGTGGGCGAGATTCCCATGAGCTGAGCTTTTCGGGCCAACGTACGTTTGCTCCAGATGCTTCCCTTCATTTGTGCTGTTTCTGGCCAACATCAGTCGAAGAGGGACGACAGTGTTTCGTTGCTCTGCGAGCATTATGATGCCAGCCAAAGCCTTGTCTCTGTGATACTTCTAATTAAACGGATTGCAATCATAGTGAGGACACTAGTTCACGTTGTGAGTATAGTGATGACACTTCTTCACATTGTGAGCATGGTGACGGTTTTTCTCCACATTGTGACTATGGAAACGTCCATGCCTTCGTCTTGATGATACTTCTCATTAAACTGAGTTTGGTGTCATTTTGTTTGCGCATATTTTCTTTTCTCTTTTGACAAAAGATGTTCAGTGTATTGGTAGGGACCCGTACCTGCTGGAGAATGGCTGAGTGTCCCATGGATAAACAGAAATAATGCTGAAAACCAGCACAAAGATTCCCCCCCCCTTCCCCCCCCTCCTTTCCCCCCCTGCCCTTCCCCCTCGCCCTTCTCCCACCCCACTACCCTCCTGCCCTTCCCCCCCCCCCCTTTCCCTCCCGCCCTTCCCCTCTCCCAACTCTCTCACTGGAAGGTTTCACATGGCAAACAAAAGGACACTGTCGAGATTCCTGGGAATTAAAATTACCAACCTGGGGCCGCACCACGCCATGGAGCCAGAAATTCTGGCCAAAATGATATCCAAGCTGGATGCTTGGTCCAACACTATGCATCACTGACATCAGTGTTCGGGAGAGAGCATTAATACTTAACTCGTCCATATTGTCTGTGCTCTGGTATGCGGCTACTATCTGGAGTCCAGAATTCCAGTTGAAGGCTAGCCTTAAGAAGAAGGCAACCACTTATCTTTGCACAGGCAATCCGGCGAAGCAAAGATCCATCCCAAAGGGTACCCTGGAAATGCGTAGTGCTCAATAAGAACAGAAGGGTGCTAGTGATCCTGGACCCGGAACTCCCGATTGAGTTGGATTAACGCATTTGCAAGGAAGATGAGCAATAGCGAACATCAGCAATCAAACAGCATCATAGATATGAGACCAGATAGTCGTGACCTCGAACCAAAAGCAGAATTGCATCACGAGTTTCACCAAATAAGAGCACACTAAAAGCTCATAATTGACAATGCTGGAATAGTCACATCATCATCAACGAAGAACCAATATTGATATCCTATCTGGCGCTCGGCGCCCAGACTACGAATGGCAGATCCTATCTAGCCTAGACTACAATGCCGCTGATGACGTCAACAGCTTCCCAAGTACGAGCAGATCTCGGTCAATGCCGCACGCGTCAAGCACCAGGTATGTCTCTCGTATCACTCACTACCTCGTTCCCCAACTCACAGATGCCACATGCACCCAAGGACCACCATGCGCCCCATCCAGCATACAGCAGCGCAGCTCGGCTATGGCTGCCTGCTCCTTCCAGCTCGCCCGTGAGCGTGTGAGCCTGGCAGGCGATAGCGCAGCAGCGCTTGCGCACAAAGCAGCCAGTGCCCGAATATGCAATGCGGAGGCAGGCCCTTCCCTATATCGAAGTGGCCTGCTGCTGTGTGCAGTCGTGAGGTACTGGGCCCTGGCCCAGAAGCTTCCGGTAGGCCCGACGAGGCTGCGCCTCCATTCAAGGGAAACAGGCCCAGGGCCTGTGGTGGTTACTAGTGCCCAACTGCCCGCAGCCTGAGTTGGGTCCATGCTGTGAATCTCGCCCAGGGCCTGACTCAGATGCATTTGATAAAGAAGTCCAGGGCCTGGGCGCTTCCAACCAGCTGGCGCTGCGCAACTGCCTGGATTTTCCCCAGTTGCGTAGTAGTCCAAAATAGGCCTCTTGGGGTCTGTCGAGCCTGCCTTCACTTAGGGCGGCCGACGCTGTTGCAAATAGGGGCCCAGTAGGGCTTATCGAGGCCTTGTGCCTCGCACATTGAAGGCAACCGCTTATCTTTGCACAGGCAATCCGGCGAAGCAAAGATCCATCCCAAAGGTAGCCTGGAAATACATAGTGCTCAATAAGCACACAAGGGTGCTAGTGACCCTGGACCCGGAACTCCCAATTAAGTTGGATTAACGCATTGCGAACTAAACGGATCATTAAACTGCTTACTCGTCACGGCCTTCCCTGGACCTTGCTAGGACTGCACCGCATCAGGCAATTAGTGAAACACAACACATGAGACAAACATGCAAGGCCATTATTGGATTATCATCCGATTATGTCCAAATACCGGGAACTGGAAGCCTGAACCGGAACGCAGTGCCGCAGGGGCAAGGCGATGAAAGCAAAGCCTGCTGGTTACATGTCCTCAATATTCCCGGCTGAAGTAAAACGCCCAGGGACCAAGGAGGAGGTCCTCAGGCAACCGCTCGTCTGCAATGAATGGTTAACAGATCTGAGATGAAAGCCCAGAACTTTTACCGCGAAGGACTCTAGGTGCGTAGGACATGGCTTTAAAAGGACGTGTGCACCTCTGGCACAATGCGCAAAATTCAAAATTGTTGGAAAACACGTGGAGCTATGGGTGACCCTGAAAGGTTGCGATGGTCTACAACGGAACCTGAATGGTAATCTTCTCTCTATACCAGAAGACTGTATGAGGGCATACTCACTCACACTGTCACTTTTTTTACTTATTTCTGGACGGAATGGCGACCAGATGCATACAGGACCGGCTGTGAATGCAGTCAGATACATTTAAGATAGTGCTATGGTAGTGTGAGTGCGCCCTGAGATCGGTAAAACGAGGCTGTGCAAGTTGAAACAAGGCGAATGGGCAACTTGGGAGTTGGAGACTTTCCTGTCATCAGCCCTGTCCTTCATCAAGAGGGTGGGTCCCGGAGAAGAATGGTTGCTCATGGGGATGTAGGAGATAACTGATCCGGGCCAAAAGACGAGTAAAGTGGAAAAAACTGCAAAGTACGACCGTCTTCACCCGAATAGAATGCCCGGTTATAATAGCTGCATTTGGCCCAACTTTCAGTCCAGACGCAGCTATAATGACCGGGCGATCTATTCGGGTGACAACGGTAGTCGCAGTTAAACAGCAGCTCGTAAGGAAAATCAGGGTGGTTGAGGAGGATGATTATACGATCTATGAGCCGACCACCTCTGTTCAGAACTTATTAGGCGGATCTGGTAGAACGGGCGTGCAAGCTTAGAGACCCCAGACGGGTAGCATAAAGCAAAGGTTCAACCTTCTCAACTATATCACCAGACTGAATTACAGACTCAGTCTGCAATTATGGTGAATAGCATATGTGGCACTACCAGTCGTCGCAGTCGACTTGTGGCTGAACAGACTTAGAAGCCAGGATGACAGTGTTATGTGACTGATTGAAACATCATCCAACAGAGCATCAACATGTTCCCACACACATGTGCGATGACAAAGCGGACTCGGAGAGGGAATTCACATCATTCCGTACTGCAATATGCACAGCGGAGGCTCAGAATTCGAGTAGAAACGAGTTAAATGAACTTAAATCTCAATTCACAATCTCCTGTCCCTCTCGTGTTCAGCCTGCTCCACAAATACCTCAAGAATCCCAACTGACTGCAGACAACCTTGAACAAACTTAAAACAAGCTTCAGCAAGCTTCTGGAGTCTTCCTCCTCCATCCAACTTCAACCATCACCTTCCCGGCTATGGCGCCCAACCTGCGGATGCAGCGCCCAACCTGCACAACACCAGCACCACCATAACCTCAGCGCCTTTTGGAAAACTGCTCAGCTCGTACAGCGCTGTGTCGGTGACCCTCCAGGGTGAACATCGCTAGCTCCAGGATGAAAAAGGAAGCTCCAGCTTGAAGAAGAAGAGGTACAGCTGCCCCGTCGAAGAAGATATGGCAGCACCTAGACCCAACTGCACAGATATGGTTGCGCCAGGCTTCAGTGCCTGAAGCGCATGCTTCAGCACAGGGACCCCAGCCTAGCAGCAGCCTCGTAGCTATGGCACTGCTCAGGCAGCCTGGCGGTGTCAAAGCAGCTCCCAAGCAGCAATTCACCCAACGTTTCAACCGACCAAAAGATCCCTAGCTCTACAGACTGACTCTTTGGATAGTTCTACACTGACCTACTGGACCTGTCTCTTATACACATCTAGATGTGTATAAGAGACAGGTTCTACACTGACCTACTGGACTGGACTCCTAGGACACAGCTAATAGTTATGGGTCTGTGTTTTTCCAGTAAAAGTGGTACCGGTCTGAGGCCTGAAACAAAGTTTTGGGGCCAGTACTACCGTGTTAGCAGTAGTTTAGGGAATTTACGGAAATGCCCGTCTGTTTAGGCCTGTTTCCAGTTGCCGGCTTAG